ACCTATCACTTTACATAATCCTTCTTATAGAATCAATAGAGCTATTTGCTACATTAAGTATCTCCCATCTCAATGATGGAGGGCAAATAAATAATAAAAAAGTGAGAAATGAAAACCAAAACGATGAGCTTATAAAACTTTTCTACTACTTCATCATCATCGACATCAACATCATCCCCTAATATGCAATTCAAGATAAAACAGCAACGGCAAGAATACATAAAAGAATATACAAACAACAATGGAGAGGTCTCATATTAGTCGGCAACAGCAAGACATGATACAACATTAGGGATTTTGTGCTTATTCGACAGAATGAAACAACTTTCACTTTGCAAGAATGTTATCATATGCTTTTGTTCTCATTTTTCATCTCTATTGAGTCTCATACATCATCATTGTAGGCAGTAGAGGAGACTGCAAGGAAGAAATTGTATGAATGAGGCACATTTTGCATCTCAAAATTACTTGAACTAAAATGATTTATGAGAGCATTGGCATGTATTTTAATTTCAAAACGCATTTTGCCTTTGGCATGTCAAATAAATCAGAAGTTGGATGCTTTGGTTTGTTAGTTTCCTCGGTAGTATAGTGGTGAGTATTTATAGCTACTAGATATTCTTTGTTTACCTTGAGTTTAGTGATGTTTACACTTTGAGTTCAAATTTTAGACTGAATTTTGCAAAACAAAGGGGAATTCTACTGAAGAGGGGACTGCAACTAATTGAAATACCCTGTTTTTTCGTTATAAGCTACTACTCGTTACTAAGCTACTAGCTTAGTAAAGTTTTTTTGAACTTGAAATTTTTTTGTAATCTTTACTAAGCTACTACCAAAAATAAAGTTTAATTAATCTTTTTCAACTTTCTAAGCATCAGTTTCAATGCCTTATTACATTGTCAATGGAATAAAATCGAGAAGATAGCAAAATTTCTTTAATTAAGTTAAAAAATTCAAAATTTTCATTGAAGTTCAATTTCTTTACTAAGCTACTACTCGTTACTAAGCTACTAGTGAGCCAAAAAAATCACTTTTTTATTCTTCTAAGCTACTAGCTTATAACGAAAAAACAGGGTAGTTTAAATATTAATTGATCAGTTATTAATATCGAATTAAACTAGTGACAGACAAAAAAAATAATTATCTTACATATATAATAAAGTTATGATCCCAAAACTCTTCCTTGTTCTCACTGTAACAACATAATTCTCATGATGCACATGTATCTATGCAGAATAAAAGTACATGAATATGCAAAGTTATTCTAAAATACCACTTTAATAGTATCCAAAGAATATGAGTGCATGTAGATTATGCTCAATGATTGAGATAATATGGTGATGATGATGTGAAATGTCTGAGTAAGATAAACGTTTAGCTTGTCATATGAAACCTCTTTATGCATGTGAATGCACTCTGAATAATGTTATTATGGTATTTAAAGTAAAAATGGCAAAGCATCTTAAGATTTAAAGCATACTCCATGTCCATAAAAGCAAGTCTTCCTATTCCTCACAAAAAAAAATCTTTATTCCTTGTTTTGTGCTCTTTCTCGTTCACTTAATGTAAATTCCATTAGCATTTTTCCTTGATGGTAATGTCGAGTAAGTAAAACACAGCAAAGAATCCTTTTACTTAAAACATTCCGTTCATCTTAAAGCAAAGAAATTCTTTCTTTCTGTTCCTCCACTTTTTACATTGTTGGAGGAAAAAACTGTCAAAGCGATAAAGCGTTGTCGCGAGTTTAAAAACTGTCTTAAAGTGGCATAAAAAAACTTTCTTTTCTAGTGCAATTGTACAGATTGGAAAATACTGAATATTAAGTTGTGAATTTCATTACTGGAAGTTTTAATGATTTTTTTTTCCATCGAGTATTTAACTTATTGTAAGGGTATGAATAGCTCCCATCTCATTATAGTTAACAACATTTGCACATAATCGCATCTTCTGTTGATTAAATCAAGTTTAATCTTCACTTTAATTAAACTTTTGAGAATAAATCTTATTTCTTTTTATTTGTTGTGTATTATTCCTTTATGCATACAGCGTTCTTTACATCCTCATTTTCAGAAAAATCCTCATCTGATATGATTAACAAGTTTTGCTTCTCATTTTCTTCCTTTTATAATTCGCAAATTTTTTTCTATATCTCTTTCGCTTACTTCTTTCTTCAAAGATTATTTTCTTCGTCATCATTTCCATTCAGAAACGAGCTAAAAGAGCTTTCTTTCTTCTCATATCGTTCTCTTGTGTTATTTAAGATGCATAAGATGAGATAAGAGATGAGAAGAACTCTATTGTTCTATTGTCACTAAAAAGTTCCTTCATCATGTTAACGAAAATTCCGTTTCATGTTTTTCTCTCTCTTTATTTCCTCATCTGTAAGTAGATAGATGTGCATGTGGGATAGAGTGCTTTTGATGGTAATCAAAATATAGGGAATATGGATGATGTCTTAGTAATCATCATGGGTTGTCTATTAGAAAAGAGTATATTACATAAGACTTCAGACGACTTACAATTGTACAGATTAGTTTTAAACCATAGTCTTCATTTGTATTCGCACAAAACTGGTTTTATTGCTTGGCCAGTTAACAAATCTATTGTCAGGTTTTCCATTTTGAACTGCCGTAATGAAGAAGTCGAAGAATTTAAACTTCTGAACAAATCATCAAGTTGATCGTGAGATTTGACTCAGGAAGTTCAAAATCAACGTCAACTCTAGTAGCCCAAATTCTCAAATAAACCATCAAGCCACTTGAGTAGCCTCTTCTCGTCCCCAAACTATAAATACTAAACCTCATTCAAGAATAACCCCAAAATACAATACCGAAGAAAAGATGAAGAAAGATGAAAAACGCATGAAAGGAAATAAACCAGAAGAAAATTTCACAAGTCATAAAAGAGAGCATGGAGGGAGGAACTACAAACTTTTCATACGTTTCTTATTCCATATACTTACATAAGTTCAAAGAATAGCGAGGGAAAGAAACTTTTTTGATTCATTTCTTATAACGAAGATAGAAAAAGCATAAATGTCACATTATACTCGTACTTTTATGACTTACAACAGAAAAATCTCAACTTGAGTGATTTTCTTTATTCTATACTTTTTTTTCGGGAAGAAGTTAACATGAAAGGGAAAAAATATTCCCACAGTAAAATGCTAATTTTTTTCCCATCTATCTTCCTGTATTTGGTTTGCGACTACCTCAATATATAAATCCATACTTTCCTTCCTTGTACCAAATTCATATTCTTCCTTTTTCGCACTCATTTGCATGAACAAACATGAATTTTACTCGCTATGAGAATCTACTTGAATTTGCATAAAACACATTTCTATATTTTTTCGGGGTTAAATAGGAGATGTTCTGCTACTGCTGCTTTATATTATTGTAATGCTCGTCTAATTTTCATGTAATTTAAATTAACATACATTCTCACACATAATCATCATCACATCCCATTTTCTTAGACTCTATCCTTTCAGAAATTGTATATTCATATTAGTATAGAAGTCGTTTAACGATATTAATGGATATTATGCTTAATATGAGAAAAAGATACAGACAATTAAAAGCCAAATATCAAATGTTTTTGAATTAATCGAGGCGTATTAAGGATGAGTTGAATTAGCAAGATAAAAAAATAATATTTATGTGGGAAAGAGAAAGTTTTTTGGAAGCAAACTTTTGTGGATAAAAAGGATGTAGGCACTTCCATTGATAGAATTGTTTAGTATCTTATGCTTTTTTTTTTGGATAGAATGTAGTTTAGAAATCTTTTTAAAGACAATTATTTTTTTTTTTTGTTAAAGGATGAAGAATACAATATAATTCGCAAGATTGCAGTTATATAAACTTAACTAGCTATTAGAACTTACTTGCGAGGTATAGTATCCGCTCATGTTTTTGGTTCTCGATCAAACTTTGTTAATCTTGCCGGAAAGTTTGTTCTGTTTGAAGGTTAAGCTACTTTGGTAATTTTAACTAAGCTTAAAAGCTATATCCTGAATAGATTTACATTTAGTAATTGAACAGCCTTCACAGTCCTCTTGTTCTATGATTAATATTCTGAAAAGTTCAGTTTAATTCTCAATTCACACAAAATTATCACTAGCTTAACTTTAATCTTCTAACCTTTGCAGCACCTGTAAGTTGTTTATAGATTTGATCTGTGTTTGTTCTATTGAATTAATCCAAAATAAGTCACTTTTTCTTTCACAATTTCACTTAAAAACATTTAAAACAATTTTTCCAAAACTTATTGAATCTCAAAACTAGTAAAATTATATTCGAAACGTATTCATTCTCAAGACTGAAAATGTGATTATCAAAAACGCCTGCAGCATTTGGCTGATTATGTAATGTAAAAGTTTAATAGAAACTTTAGAAATTCTTAACATAATACAAGCACAGCACAGCATGTATTGCACAAACATCTCATTTCCTTCCTCAATGTTATCTGTATTTAATAAGAAAATTAACATTGTAGCTTAACAATATGTTGTGTATATAATCCGAGTCGTTATGCTTCTCATTCATAATTCAGCAAAATTTGTTTAATTCAAAACTTTCAAGCAGCATAATTCACTGAATAGCTAGCATCTCATAATAATTATCCGCATTGAAAAATTCTTCATTCATTTTCATGTCATAGCGACAAGTTGAATGTTGAATAATTCCGATTTTTAATTTAAATGCATTCTTCACAAATTTTCAATTTCATTATCTTCCATCCCATCTTAACTGAAGCAGTTAATTAATGCTTGAACTTATTTCCTGTAACACACAAAAAAAAACTCTTCATTTTATTTTTAAATGCAAATTACTTTTCGTTCAAGTTCCTCATTCTTCCATAGAAATGAACTTTTTTTTTCTAGATCCTGTTCATGTTGGAAGGGAAAAAAAGGTGTGGAAAACAGAAAATTTTTAATTGAGGAAAATTCAAATTACGACGCAAAGAAGTTCTTTATTTAAATTAAAAATAAAATTGAATCCTTTTCATTGTGTTTCGTACAAAAAACGAAGAAGCTTGATGACTTTAAAAGTAAACTTGAGGAGGTGGGGGTGGGGGAAATGCTGGAGGATTTGGTGGCCATGATGCACTGAGAATGAGAAATAAAGAAATAAGTAATTGATTAGATACTAAAGTTGATGAGCAAATTGAAGAAAGATTGTGACAATAATTACCTTGGGGGTAAAGGGGGTGGTGGGGCGAGTGCTGGTGGTGGAATTACAGGCATCGATGGTGGGAATGGAGGCTGTCCCATCGGTGGATTTGGAATTCCTCTGAAAATATAATTAAAAATCATTAAATTCACAAATTTAAATGACAAGACTTAATAGGTAAAATGACTGATAAAACAAAAATCGTGCTCTTTACACGACTTTTGACAACAATTGGTAATTTTACCATTGATAAGCTTTGTGCCTCAATTCAACCCCTTCATTAAAATTAATACTTACGTCGGTAAAGGAGGTGGTGGCATCATTTGGTTCATCATTGGAATCATCTGTGGAACTGGAGCGTCAGCAAACAGTTGATGAGGACGATCAGCATGTGAGAGTGGATTTTGTGCTGCAAGCAATCTTTCGGCTGCTGAGCCGTGCCTCTCACCCTTAGAATCTTTCTTGAATGCATAAGAAACTGAGATTGGTCGATTACAAAGATATTGTCCATTCATAGCATCCATAGCTGCATCTGAAGCTTCAAAACTAGCGAAATTGATAAATGCAAATCCTTTAGAATTTCCTGTTTCTGGATCTCTCATGATTTTTGGGGTTTGAAGAATTACACCGAATGCAGAGAATGTATCATAAAGCAACTTCTCATCCACTTCTGGATCTAAGTTTCCAATGAAAATATTAGCACCAACATCCAGATTCTTTTGATGTGCTGACGCTTTGTTTACTCTTATTGGCTTTCCGTATAACTTAATCATATTCATAATTTTAATTGCATAGTCAGCATCTTCCTCACCGAGAAACTCCACAAATCCGTATCCTTGATGTAGCTGTGTTACTCTGTCTTTGGGCATATGAACATTCACTGGAAGTAGAATTTATCGTTTATAAACGTTTTAATCAAGGAATTCAATTAATTTACCAACTGGTCCAGCCTGTACAAATAGTTCCCATAATAAAGTCTCTGTAACTTTCTCGTCAAGTCCTCCAACATAAATTGTCGCATCTAAAATAATTAAAAATGCCGATAAAATAAATTTATTCAAAATATCAGCGAAATTCATAGAATTTAAATAAACTTTCGAGTTAATTAAGTTAAACTTACCTTGATTCCTCTCTGCAATCGGTCCACTTGCCATAATTAATCGTTCTTCTCACTTAATTTAATTAAAAACTGATTGTTGAATTCACAAATAAAAATCAAAACAAAGCTGAAGTAGTCGACTTCCCTTTGAAAATTTCAGTGTTGAAAATTCAAAAAATCGAAAAACCGTTTTTTGATTTTTTACAATTTTGACTTAATTAAAGCGAATTGATAAGCTCACAATGCTTACAATGACACTTTATTCGTAATTTAGACTAGTTTACCACCTGGTGTATTAAGGAATGTTGTCAAATTAGATTAGTCAAATGTAAATCCGATTTTCAACTCTAAAAGAAGTACAGATACGCAATCTCAAACAAAAGTCTGTCTAAACCCGCTCATAGTAGACGACAATAGTCATTCATTTATACGTTTTTGTGAAGTAGTAGTGAAAAGACGAAAAGTTTTAATGAAAAATTTTTCGGAATAATTAAAAAATTAAAACTTTTAATTTTTGGTTGATATTTTATAAGTTTTTGTATAGTGATGAGTGATTTCTCTACGAATTATAACAACGGTCAGAGCCTTGCATTACAGAAAGCCAGACAAGTAAGTTCTGAGAAAAATCGATAAATCCAGTGAAGAAAAAAACTTAAAATTGCTTAATAATTTTAAATATAGCCATTTTGTTAATTAATTATGATTAAGTCTGTTTATTATCTTATGATTTACAAGAATATTATTATTTCGGGAGATTTTCGATTGTTTTTGATACTGAAAAGTTGAATTGAAAATTTTCAAAGATCCGCCATATCTTTTTAGCGCATTTTTGAAACTTGTTTCTAAAAGGTGGCTTAATATCTCACTTTGTCTGTTCGTTCGGGCGAAGAAAAACTTTTTAACTAGACATTGTAGAGAGTTCTAGTTTGTTTTATTAGTTCAGGTCCATTGTTTTATTTTCGTGAAATGCATTTAAAAGTCTTGAAACAGTGTTTTTGTACTATAATTAATGATTTTTATATTTCATATGAAAAAACACGTGAGCGTTTAGAAATTCGAATTCATTTCTACCGTTGAAAAATTTTGAATCTCAAATTTTTTCGGCTTAACTCAATTTTTGATTTTTTTTGATAGAAAAAAGCCATTTAATACACATTTCAAGTATTTAAATTGAACTTTACATGCTTTACTATGATTCTGTGTAATATTTTGTCAGCATGTAGCTATAGTAAGCTCAGAATTTCAAATTAGCCGATGTTAAGCCGAAATTTAACTCACTATAGCTACATGCTGACACAATTTTACACAGAATCATAGTAAAGCATGTAAAGTTCAATTTAAATACTTGAAATGGGTGTCAAATGGCTTTTTTCTATCAAAAAAATCAAAAATTGAGTAAAGCCGAAAAAATCGGCTTCGATCTCTGATTATTTATACTATAATTAATGCTTTTACTGTAATTTTTGGCAAGATACTTTCAACTGCATACGACCGTTACAAAATTTGAACTTCAGAAAACCGTTAAACGATAAACAATTTATATATGAGAATGAAAGATATTAAATTGTTAAATATACTATAATTAATGATTTTTTGTATATCTTTTGGCGGGAAGCTTTCAAAAACTTACTGACCGTTAGAAAATTTGAATCTCAAATAATCGTTAATTGATAAACTTTTTATATATTCAAGATTATGCATCTTATTGAAAAAACTTCTCCCCCAATATGCACATGCACCATCCCACTTACAGTCAGACACATATTTGAATGCACAAACAATCAAACAGCTATTTCAAAATTTAATATCAGTTACAAAACACTTGAATTAGACGAAAAAGATGAAACAGATAAAATTTTAAACTTTTTAAAAGAAATTAATATTTACGACAAAATCTAACACTAAAACACATAATATCCTGACAGTGTTGCAAATGTAGATGTCTACACTAGATGAAGAATGTAGATTCTTCAATAGTTTTTGTCTAGCTAAGAAACTTTCTTCACAAAGATCGATTCTATTTGAAGATAGAAAATCTAATCTACACAAAGATTCTGTCAACATAAAGATTCGATGTAGATGTCTACAATTCTACATTTTTTCCAGGTCTACATCAGAGAAGAATGTAGAATTGTAGACATCTCCATCGAATCTTTATGTAGACAGATTCTTTATGTAGAAATAATCTTTGTGTAGATTAGATTTTCTATCTTCATGTAGAATCGATCTTTATAAAGAAATTTCTGTCTCAGAATTTATCTGATTCAGACAAATGGCCAGAATGCAACACTGTATCCTGTATTGCAGTTCGTATTTATAAAATTAAAAAACATTTAAAACATATTTGGAATTGAAAATGGTCTTAAAATTTATTAAAAAAAACTTTAATAAAGATAATTAAGAAGAAGAAGAATATTCAAAATTCATTGGAACAAATTATTTAATTATACTATAACTAATGTTTTCGTAGTGCAACTTTTAGCGGGAAAATTTCAAATTATTTTTTGACCGTTAAATAATAAATCCTTTCTATATAAGCATTCATTGTAATTATTTGCTAATTGCACTAAAATTAATGATCTTCTAATCTTCTAATGACCTGTAAATGAACGCAAAATAAATAGATAATCAAATACTGATCGCTAACACAAAAATGCGTTAAGTCCCTCGATCAATAACACGAGGACTTCTGTAATTTTTCTTCTTCTTGATTAAGTTTTTATTGATCCAGTCCTAGCACATACAGAATGTGAAGAAAAAAAATATTTTCTACAGTGGGGATGGTTGCTCATGACATCCGATGAAAAATTGGATTTATCATGCTGAAAATTTTCAGACATCCCCCTCCTCTCAAACGACTGAACTTCATAAGCAAATTACCCGCAAACATTGCTTGCTATTTATACAATTCCTTTCTCTCTTGAAATATTTTTATCTTTGAACATGAAAAAAAAATTAGGTCGCTGCCAAACTTCAACTTGCAGGTCCAAATAAGAGACCACACGAAGACGACGACGAACCACATACAAAAAGATTTAGCAGTGGTTCCAATTCCTCAATGAGTCCAGCACATTTACAACAAGCACAGCAAGCGGCAGCTCAAGTAGCTGCACGTTTGGGTCAGCCAAATTATCAACAAAATGTGATACCAAATCCAGAAGCTGTAGAAAAAGCCAAGCAACTAATAAATAAATTCATTCCACAGAGCCAAGCTGGCGGACCTTCCAACAATATAAGCAGTAGTCTAGGAGGTGCTGGAATCGGTGGTAATGGAGGTGGAAATGGTCCCGCTAGACCGGGATTAGGTGCTAATAGTTACACAGAAATGATGATTCCAGGATCAAAGGTTGGTTTAATTATCGGAAAGGGTGGATTAACAATTAAGCAGTTACAAGAGCGTACAGGAGCAAAAATGGTTGTTATACAAGACGGCCCAGATCAAGAGATGGAGAAACCACTGAGAATATCAGGAGATCCACAAAAAGTAGAGCATGCAAAACAATTAGTTTATGAACTTATACAAGATAAAGGAAATGAACAGTCACAATCACAGTCAAATAATAGAAGTCAGAATCAAAATAGTATGCAAGAACATGGTGCAGCATATCCTGGAGCTGGTGGTAGAGGAAATAATGGAAATGGTGGTGATCAAATTGAAGTTTTTGTACCCAAAGCAGCTGTTGGTGTTGTTATTGGAAAGGAGGGTGGTATGATTAAAAAGATTCAAGCTGATACAGGCTGCAAATTACAGTTCCTTCAAACAAAAGGCGATGGACCTGGTGACAGAAGATGCATAGTTCAAGGAACAAAACAGCAAGTCGATGACGGAAAGAGAATGATTGAAGACTTAATTGATAGTGTTCTTCGAAGAAATAATAATAGTAGTGGTGGTGGTGGAAGTGATAATTGGAACAATAGTGGATCAGGTTCAAATTATCAGCAACAACAGCATCAACAAAGTCAGCCTCCAGCAGCTGGTGGCATTCAAGTCGTTCAACAACAATATGAATTCAATGTTCCAACAAGTAAATGCGGAATTATAATTGGACGTGGTGGTGATACCATTAAACAAATTAACCAGCAAAGTGGAGCACATTGTGAAATGGATAGAAAGAAATCAGCAAACCAAACAAATGAAAAAACTTTCACCATCAAAGGCGAACAACATCAAATTGAGGAAGCTAAGAGACTCATTCAAGATAAGATTAATATGGATGTTGATTTGCAGCATTTAGGAACGACAACAGTCACTCAACCTGCAAATGGATTTAATGGTCAGAATTCTCAAAGTCCCTATCAATGGGGTGCAGCAGCAGCAGTTGGAGGTTTCAATCAAAGCAGTTGGGATCCAAGTCAAGCAGCTCAAATGCCAGGACCACAAGGCATTAATGCACCATCAGGACAACCTGATTACTCATTACAATGGATCGAATATTACAGATCTATGGGAATGCATCAACAAGCTGATGCAATTGAATCACAAGTCAAATCATCTCGACCATCAAGTGGACCTACAATTCCAGGTATATATATATTGATGTAGTGACTTCTTGATTTCTTTTGGTTCGACGGCATATTTTTCTTTAAATTGTTTTTTAGGAGCAAATCCACCACAGCCACAAGCTCCATCATCTGGAGCTGGAGGAGCAAGTTCAGATAGTCAGAGAGATTATAGCCGTGAATGGGCAATGTACTATAGACAAATTGGACGAGTTGAAGAAGCTGAAGCTATTGAAAGACAGATTAAGGTACGATCAATTTATTTTTTTGTTGGTTATGGCAAGTCAATTTAATTTGAATGCTTTTTAGGGTGGAGGATCAACACCGAGCAGTGGAACTGCCACAAACTTCCCAGCACCAAGTGCTGGCAACTTCCCACAACAATTTCAACAGCAACAGCAGCAACCACAACAACAATATGGACAGCAGTATGGAGCAAACTTCCAACAGTTCCAACAATATCATGGAAATGGGCAAAATAGCTCAAATAATGAAAAGAATTGGTGAGTCATTATTGAAATGAACTTTTTATTTGTTACACATTTTTTTGCTTTTCTTTTGCATAAATATTTATTAATTATTTTGACCATTGATATATTCTATTCCTATGATTTTATTTAATTAATGTACCTGACATCCCTCCATTTATAAACTGAAAATTTCTATATTAATATGACTATCAAAAATCCAAAAAAAAAGAGGTCAACAACCTTTAAAAGTTATTTTCCTCTTTGCTGCGCTATAAATAAATTTTCTAGCAAATTATATTAAATTTTTCTTTAGCAAATTTTTATAATTTTTTTTTTTCGTGAAGTTGGCACAAATTTCTGGTAAATTATATAATACGCACATTATTCTAGCATTAAGAAAAAATTACGTAAGTAACCAAAATTTGGGCAAACTTGACGAGCTATAATTTATATCTTTGAATTTATTTCCACTTTATTATTAACTATAATTCTGAATTAACTTATCATTTACGCATAACAACTTACATTTATTTCGTATAATTTTTTTAACATAAACCAAAATAAATTTTACTTGCAGAATCGATCAAATAAGAAATTAGAAATATGAAAGTTGAGAAAAAAAAATAATAATTTTTTTCATGAAATTATAAAGTGTGTGTGAATTAATCCGCATATATTTCCTTCATCTCTTGTGTTTGAATATTGACTAGAAAAAAATGAATTAAAAAACTAATGAAAATGTGCATCAAAAAAAAGTGACAAAAAAATGAAAGAAAAAAATGTGTTTTGAAGGTTGACGAGTCGTGAAATGGATGGAATTAACTCTTCGATGTAGTGACGATGATATAAAAAAAAACTATAAAAATAATCAAACCTAGTACACATAAACATAATAATAATAATAATAATAATCTTAGATGTTAAGACACGATTTTTTTTTCTCTTGATTTATCTGAGCAACTTTTTATCTCTAGATTTAAAAATCACTCAAATTTTTATGCATAATAAACTTATAAAATTATCTAATAATTGTAAGACAAAAAAAAATAATATTAAAAAGTCAAAAAAACATAAAAATTTCATTAGATAGGATTAATGTGAGGAGTGAATTCACTCGAGTACTCGATTTACTTGTGCGCATATATGAAAAAATTTGTACCACAAACTTGCCATTATCTCTGTCTCTAAAGTTCATTGAATCTTATATATTATATATATTTTTATTGCAACATATTTTACTCTTTTTATAAATTTGTTTTAAAATAATAACAATAACAAATTTATCATAGCATTAAAAATTTTAATATTTTCTGCTATATTCTAATAATTTCTGATCACAGCTACGGGTAAGATGATAGAATGTGTGTGTTATATTTAATAAATAATTATTGTATTTGAAATGATTTATTTTCAACTATCAATTTTATCTCGACATTCATAATAATTCTATCATAATATTGCGTAATTGATCCTTTTTATTGATGACTGTAAAAATGATGATTTTGATATACTTTATTTTACATACAAGAAAAAAATTGAACCTTATTGAGATTGAAATTAGTGAAAAATCTATTAATCGAAAATTATGAGACTTTTTTGTAAATACATTGTAAGAGTATGGCATTAGATAGGAAGAATTCTAATCCTTGAATAACTGAGATTAAACCTTAAACAATTCGAATAACTTGAAACAACTTAGACATGATCAAAATAGTCAAATTGCATTGCTATTCTCTAGGATAAAAGAAGCAATATTTTTGGACTACTCCTGATCCATAAAACGATAGATTTGAGATTGATACTCTATGTAATATGATTTTTTGTCAATGTAATTTTATCAGAGAATATGTTCATACAAGAGTCCGGGTTCTAAGATGTACTCTTAGTCTTACCTGACTCAAAGAGATGTTGAACGTCAATAAAATGAGTATAATCACGGATAAAATTGCAATTGCTGAATGAAATAACATTGCCAGTTCTTCCTTTGTCAAGTATTGAACAACTCACTAAACATTGAAGGAAACTTCCAGTTGATTGAGATAAGATCTTATTCTAAAAATAATTTCATGAATTAAACCTCGAAAACCAAACAAAATAAAGATAAAACCAATCAGGACTAACTTTGTATCGAAATACTTGCGAAGATAACACCCCAACCAGCCAACTTCCAAACAATTATTCTGTCAGAATCATGATTGTAGTTACATGATGATTTGATGGATTCTTGAAATGTCTCGATCTCAGAATTATATCGTGATTAAGACATTTGAAGAATCTGTAAAGAACACAGTTAAAGACGTCAATTTTTCAAAAACTTAGATCTGTGCTTGATATTCCTTGTATTATCAAGTACAGAGCTAGATTTTTGTTAACTGGTCGACTAAATCAAATCAATTTTGAAAGAATACTTTGTGGCTTCAGATCGAGATCTTACTCAGATATCAACAAAAATAAACAAATACTTAGACAGGAACTACACTAATTCTCAGAACTGGCAAATTTAAAATAACTTGAAATTGTTAACGTAATACTGTCCGTAATAGCTTACAAAGAAAACTATAAAAGCTCATAAATTTTCGATTAATAGCTTTTAAAACAATTTCAATCTCTGCTGTTAATGTATATGATGATAACTATTTTTGTTTTGAGATATTTGTTTATGATTATGATTATACTTACTTTTTGTTTTCTAGACTTGATTTCAGCGAGATTGAAAAAGTAAAAAAAAACTTGTTTATTTTCATTATTCAATGAACTATTGGGGAGGAAGAGGATGAACATGAAGTAAATAAAAGAAAAGAAAAAATTATGAGAATTTAATAAATTGAGAAAAGATCAAAAAATGATTGAATCATGAAGAAAAAGGTACATGAAATTAACTTAGAAACATTTTCAACTTATATTTCTATACTTTATTTACTGACATTATTGAAATATTGCTTAAAAATATGATATATATTACTATCTAGATGATTATCACTTGTCAAAAAAATACTTTTTTTACATCTCAAATATTATAAATTATTGCATTTGTGTCTATAAAAAAAATTCATATTGATAACAAATATTTTTTTTCTCGTAACACATAATAATGATAGAAACTATTTAGTTTGTAAGAATTTTAAAAAAAAACTTTTCATTTCTTTAATATGGTATAAAAAAATCCTTAATACTATTAATAATGAACAGTAATCAATCAATTTATTCATATTGTTATTATAAAACTTTGTCAAAATGATAAGAAAAAAACTATTTGAAATTCATTTAATCCATAAATTTTTCTCCTTTAACACACAATGATCTTTTATTGCAAAAACCAAATATTGTTCTTTTTAAGGTATTCAGTGTAAGTATTATGTATGGATGGGAGTAAGTAAAAGTGATCAGAATGATGTTGAAATTAGGACATTTGAACATTTGAACATTTTCATAATAAGAAAATACAAGTTTTAAAGTTTTATTCCTAAATTTGTGTTTTGAGATTCTCAAGATTTTAACTTTGAGAAAATTAAATGAAAATCGAAATGTTAAAGAATGTTCAGAAATGCTAAACTTTTCATCAAAATGATCCATTTGTGTAGAAGATCAGAACTGAAAGCAATTCTCAAGTTAATATTTATTCAATGAATGACTTGATTCATTGATAAAGCTTAAACTAGATTAAAACTTTCACTAAAATCTTCTGCTCAAATAACAAGTAAGTATTCAGGTTTATCCATCCAAATAAGTATTTAACGTCATCATCAACAATCCAGCTTGTACAGAACATCATTAGAATCAACAAATCAAGGAAACTATAAGGATGGTAAGGTAAAATCCAGGTAAGATCAGTAAGTATACCTAAATTCTTGTATTTCAGAATATATAAATGAAATCTTTTATGTATAAAATCAATTGCGATATCGACAATATTATGATGTTGAGAATTATTATGAATGTGAATATTGATAAAACAAAATTATTTTCATATATTTCCTTAGTCTTAAGATTGACTATTTATGTATTTTCACAATGAATATATTTCCTTGAAATTTCTTATATTGAAAAATTCATTTATTTCAAATTATCTTCATACATTTTTAATTGATTCATATTTGTTACATATTTCAAATTTCAATTAACCTGAATATTAGATTGAAATTTAAAATTTATCAATATTTTAACCAAAATATAAAAGATTTCTTTTAACAGATTTTATTCACTTATTGTCGTTAGTCAAGGTAAGTCAACGTCGTTGATTAAAGTGTCGAGCTGTTGATGTCAAAGCAGTGCTTCTTAAAGGATACTTACAGTGTAAATTGATTGGTATTTTGACTAGTTTTCTATGAAAAATATGCTTAGTTATTTTTCAAAAATTTCATTTGGGTTCTATTAAATAAATTTTGATATTAGATATAATTGTTGCTGCTGCAAAAATGATCCTGAAAGTGTGATAAATAAGTAATTCAAGTGTTTATTTCTTTAAAAACATTTATTCAATCAGTGCTCTTAATATTATAAATTATAATGAATCAAGAAAGTGCAATAAAATTTTATTTTCAAATAATTAAAAGTTGTTTTGAATATTAATATATTTTTAAAAACTAGTCATATTTGAGAAATTCTATCAAAAATAAATTTAAAATCAGCATTCTAATTGAAGGAAAAGAAAAAAACATTATGAACAATAAAATTAAGTATTATCGAAACAGGAAACAAGATGTATATATTTTTTGCTGCTTAGTTTCCATGTTCATTTATTTTACTTTAAATAAATCTGCATAATCAACAAAATTCAATTCTGTGTTTCATCCATAAACGATCCCTTATACAATTTACTTTTTGAATTTTAAAAAGTTTATTCCATTTCAATTATTTCATAATTTTCCATCGATAAACTAGAAGCAATATGTTGAATTCCTTGAACTGATGCATCTGTAAGTGCTATCCATTGAACTTTTGGATACCTTTCTCGTACGTTCCTCAAAAATTGAAAAGATGTTCTCCTCGTGTACGTTATTAACTCAGCTTCTTCGAATATAACCGTACAAATTTTAGAGTCCAGTAAATAATTAATGAAACTTCTGACTTCTCTAAATCCATTTTCAATCATTTCGGGTGTACAATAGAAAAATTCTTCCGAAAAAGTTGCATAAATGTCTTCTCGATCCGGAATAGATGTATCTTCAATTATTGTTGTTGCTGTTAAACCTAAATCTTTTAAGTATTGAACTTCATAGTTGATACGCTTTTTATATGGTGAAATCACCAAAATAACACCATTTGCATTGAACCCTCTTTTTATCAAAAAGCAAATTGCCTCTTTAGCATTTGAAGGCACCGACAGAATTAAATTATTGTGATTTCTTTTTCTCACTAACGATTCAAATCGGAGATTTTGCTGCTCATCAAATGTATAGGTTTCTGGTATTCTATCAGCCATTTTACACAATCACCTGCAATTACAAAATTTATTAATATTTTGATGTTATTTATTTTACACGTCCTGAATTATCGTCTGTTTTTAAGCAAATGAATAAAAATTTTTGCTATCGTTTTAATTTTCGCAATTTATTATTGCAATTTTCAGGGAAAAAATTGATGCACCCTAAAAAATTAATCTTGTATCATAAAAAGGTATTATTTTATAAGCGTTCTTATCTCTGTGCCACTTATAACTAGAATTCCGATTCTTTAGAATTGTGGCTTTTTGGTTAAGGTCTTTCGCTGAAAACCATTTTTTTAAGGTTAATTAATTTAAGATATGCATTGGAAAAAAGGAGTGTTACGAACGAAGTAAAATCGCGCCAATTTTATCGGATCTTTTAAAATGTAAATGTAGACTTACTTGTAATTATATCCTCTAAAAAAATCAAACAGATTTTTTTTTTGATGTAATGATCTCGAAAGTTCTAATGAAGATCTAAAGACTTGTAGTAATGAAGATTAAAATTAATTCTATGCACAACTTGGTTATTTGAACTCCAAAAATATACTGAGCTTGTTCATTTGTGTTTGCAATTTTTATATATGCAACACATTGATAAGTATTGCGTAATACAAATCTTCTTATAACATTTAATTTTCTTCAGTCAATGAAATTTTTAATTGATATAAATAGATTATAACATGATAATGAATTTCGCAATATTGCTTAATCTCAAATCCACACTTGGGACAAATTAATAAATATAAATTCTAATTTTATGTAAAACTTTCAGACTTATCCCCGAGCGGCACAAAGGCTCCATTTGCCTTCCATATGGAAGCTATACAGAGCCTCCATGTTCCACCCTCCATTTGATCTTCCGAAAACCTTACTATCATGGAACTTTGACGGAGCCAAAGCTCCGAAAATCCTCCGTGGGACGTGCATTTATTAACACCAAATGGAAGTCATTTGAGAGGTTTTGATGGAGGATGGAGGATCCATTTGTGGTAGTCAAACGGAGGTTTAATGGAAGTATTTTTCAAAGAATTTTTGGTACGATTTTCCACGTGTTTTTCTATGTTTCGCAATTTTTATATCAAGATTTGTAGCTGTATTAGTGGACTTAATTAAAGTACACTAACACTATTGAAAAATTACAAATTAATTTAATTAAGTCGCAACCACAGAAATTTCTAAGTCTCGATCACACGCGTGAGAAACATAAGAAATTATTAAAAATTTTCATACAAATTAAACGACCCCATATAATAGTGATTTCTGCATGCGCTTGTGAAGTATGTAATTTCATACAAAATCACAAAAAATTATCCTTTTTTGCTTTTTTAAAGCTTGAAATGAAGCAATATGATTCAGTAAAGCTTTTCGACAATATTTTAATCCATTACAGTAAGATCTGACCTCTGTCTTTTAAAAATTCAAAAGCACGAGTTTTTCGGTATTTGATTTAAGAAAAAGCGGAGTTCATATGGAATCCAAATGGAATCAATATGAAGGATGAAAAAATAACCCTCCATTTACTTCCCACATAGTGGAGGTGGCTTTCATATGGATTCCATATGGAGACCACCCTCCACCTTGTGCCGCTCGGGATCTCTTATATATTAGCAATACATTACTTTTTTTTATGACTTAAAAATTCAAACATGTTCTTCAAAAATTCTTAAAAACTCTTTCGTTTAACTTCTAAACTTTTTGAGCCATCACTTGATTTCCCCTTCCTGTCAAGCCTTTCTTTCGTCACACAGTTATCGCAATTGTTTCCACATGGCTCATTCTCTTCATCGCCGAAGAAATTTGCAATGTATTGATGACGACATCCAGTATGAGTTGCATATTCTTTCATTTCCTTAGTAACAAATCCATTGCGTTGATAGACTAATCTTGAATATCCAGGAGAAGTGTCGATTCGGCCTGATTGCTAGGAAGAGAAATTCAAAAACACGACTTACGTAGAAAGTCACTAGCTTCCGCATTTGACTTATGTTAGATTACAGTTCTTTTATATATATCACAAAACGAAAATTAGTGTATCGGGTAAACCCAATGTGGATATATTCACACCGTACCATCAAAAGTCTTATGGATAGACCAAGATTTGCTTAGCATAAGTTTGAAGGTATAAAGCTTGGTAAGTTTGAAAGTATAAAACCAGCGAGTCAGCTGAGCTTTGCTCAGCATATGTTTGAAGGTTTAAAGCTTAACGAAAATTCTTTAAAGTTTTTAAAAAAAATTTTTCATCCAACGTTTAATTTTATAAAAATCACAGTCAACTTTTGTTTAAAAAAATTCGTAAGAAAGGAAAGTTTTTTGCTTTTTCTGAAGCAACGGCTGTTCATACCTTGCCCAAAAACAATACAGCTCTTCTATAGGGCAGCATGGATTAAATAAAGAAACCAGAAGTCTTTACAATGTCTCGTTATTGAGATTTCTTGCTTGATTTTCTAAGCAATGCAAAATTGAAATCTTATTTTTTGCAGAAGATGTGAATTCTTAAACACAAACTTTTCTCGTGGAAAATTTTATTGTTATAAATGATAAAGAATGCTAATATAGACATAAAATCGATATTTTTTTAAAAATAGCCTACTATGATCGAAAACCAAAAATGCTTTAAATTGCATTTTAAAACATATCTAGGTCTTATAAATGAAAAAGAATGTTTAAAGAGGTATAAAATCGAAATTTTTTGAAAATAGCCTCCTACGATCGAAAACCAAAAAATGCTTTAAATTGCATTTTAAAACATATCTAGGTCTTATAAATGAAAAAGAATGTTTATATAAATATAAAATCGAAATTTTTTTGAAAATAGCCTACTATGATCGAAAACCAAAAATGCTTTAAATTGCATTTTAAAACATATCTAGGTCTTATAAATGAAAAAGAATGTTTATATAAATATAAAATCGAAATTTTTTTGAAAATAGCCTACTATGATCGAAAACCAAAAATGCTTTAAATTGCATTTTAAAACATATCTAGGTCTTATAAATGAAAAAGAATGTTTATATAAATATGAAATCGAAATTTTTTTAAAAAAAGCCTACTATGATCGAAAACCAAAAATGCTTTAAATTGCATTTTAAAACATATCTAGGTCTTATAAATGAAAAAGAATGTTTATATAAATATAAAATCGAAATTTTTTTGAAAAAAGCCTACTATGATCGAAAACCAAAAATGCTTTAAATCGCATTTTAAAACATATCTAGGTCTTATAAATGAAAAAGAATGTTTATATAAATATAAAATCGAAATTTTTTTGAAAAAAGCCTACTATGATCGAAAACCAAAAATGCTTTAAATTGCATTTTAAAACATATCTAGGTCTTATAAATGAAAAAGAATGTTTAAAGAGGTATAAAATCGAAATTTTTTTGAAAATAGCCTACTATGATCGAAAACAAAAAATGCTTTAAATTGCATTTTAAAACATATCTAGGTCTTATAAATGAAAAAGAATGTTTAAAGAGGTATAAAATCAAAATTTTTTTGAAAATAGCCTACTATGATCGAAAACCAAAAATGCTTTAAATTGCATTTTAAAACATATCTAGGTCTTATAAATGAAAAAGAATGTTTAAAGAGGTATAAAATCGAAATTTTTTTGAAAATAGCCTCCTACGATCGAAAACCAAAAATGCTTTAAATTGCATTTTAAAACATATCTAGGTCTTATAAATGAAAAAAAATGTTTAAAGAGGTATAAAATCAAAATTTTTTTGAAAATAGCCTACTATGATCGAAAACCAAAAATGCTTTAAATTGCATTTTAAAACATATCTAGGTCTTATAAATGAAAAAGAATGTTTAAAGAGGTATAAAATCGAAATTTTTTTGAAAATAGCCTCCTACGATCGAAAACCAAAAATGCTTTAAATTGCATTTTAAAACATATCTAGGTCTTATAAATGAAAAAAAATGTTTAAAGAGGTATAAAATCAAAATTTTTTTGAAAATAGCCTACTATGATCGAAAACCAAAAATGCTTTAAATTGCATTTTAAAACATATCTAGGTCTTATAAATGAAAAAGAATGTTTAAAGAGGTATAAAATCGAAATTTTTTTGAAAATAGCCTCCTACGATCGAAAACCAAAAATGCTTTAAATTGCATTTTAAAACATATCTAGGTCTTATAAATGAAAAAAAATGTTTAAAGAGGTATAAAATCAAAATTTTTTTGAAAATAGCCTACTATGATCGAAAACCAAAAATGCTTTAAATTGCATTTTAAAACATATCTAGGTCTTATAAATGAAAAAGAATGTTTAAAGAGGTATAAAATCGAAATTTTTTGAAAATAGCCTCCTACGATCGAAAACCAAAAAATGCTTTAAATTGCATTTTAAAACATATCTAGGTCTTATAAATGAAAAAGAATGTGTATATAAATATAAAATCAAAATTTTTTTGAAAATAGCCTACTATGATCGAAAACCAAAAATGCTTTAAATTGCATTTTAAAACATATCTAGGTCTTATAAATGAAAAAGAATGTTTAAAGAGGTATAAAATCGAATTTTTTTGAAAATAGCCTACTATGATCGAAAACCAAAAATGCTTTAAATTGCATTTTAAAACATATCTAGGTCTTATAAATGAAAAAGAATGTTTATATAAATATAAAATCGAAATTTTTTTGAAAAAAGCCTACTACGATCGAAAACCAAAAATGCTTTAAATTGCATTTTAAAACATATCTAGGTCTTATAAATGAAAAAGAATGTTTAAAGAGGTATAAAATCAAAATTTTTTTGAAAATAGCCTACTATGATCGAAAACCAAAAATGCTTTAAATTGCATTTTAAAACATATCTAGGTCTTATAAATGAAAAAGAATGTTTAAAGAGGTATAAAATCGAAATTTTTTGAAAATAGCCTCCTACGATCGAAAACCAAAAAATGCTTTAAATTGCATTTTAAAACATATCTAGGTCTTATTAATGAAAAAGAATGTTTATATAAATATAAAATCGAATTTTTTTGAAAATAGCCTACTATGATCGAAAACCAAAAATGCTTTAAATTGCATTTTAAAACATATCTAGGTCTTATAAATGAAAAAGAATGTTTATATAAATATAAAATCGAAATTTTTTTGAAAAAAGCCTACTATGATCGAAAACCAAAAATGCTTTAAATTGCATTTTAAAACATATCTAGGTCTTATAAATGAAAAAGAATGTTTAAAGAGGTATAAAATCGAAATTTTTTTGAAAATAGCCTCCTACGATCGAAAACCAAAAATGCTTTAAATTGCATTTTAAAACATATCTAGGTCTTATAAATGAAAAAAAATGTTTAAAGAGGTATAAAATCAAAATTTTTTTGAAAATAGCCTACTATGATCGAAAACCAAAAATGCTTTAAATTGCATTTTAAAACATATCTAGGTCTTATAAATGAAAAAGAATGTTTAAAGAGGTATAAAATCGAAATTTTTTGAAAATAGCCTCCTACGATCGAAAACCAAAAAATGCTTTAAATTGCATTTTAAAACATATCTAGGTCTTATAAATGAAAAAGAATGTTTATATA